AAAAAAAAAACAACTCACATCAAGTGGGTTACAAAACTGAGCAACATCGCTAGGTTTCTCTTGGGTAACAATTTGAGCTTGCGCGCGAAGAGCTTCTTGTGCCTGTATGCCAACTGCATATTAAAACGTCTTCATGAAACTTTTGCATTGAACCTACTTCATTCCGCTTTTGCTCCTCTAGTTCATGTCGAAGTTCAGCGAGAACCTCTTCAAGAATTTCAAAGCTGACGCCTTCCACTCGTTTGTAGAAATCCTTCGTGACAACGTCAACTATCTCTTCGCCTATAGTCTTTTCCGTAGCTTCCGCCACTACAGCAACATTTCGTATAAACTGTCTCTGAATATTGATATTTGGTTTCAATAGAATAGGTAGAAATCTTACCTTCTGCCTGTCAACAGCTTTCCGCCTCCTTCTCCGCTGTTCATTTCCACTCTTCGATACGGGTTCTACAGGACTCACTGACATCGATTCTGGTGCCGGAGAAATCGATCCAATGTCAACATCCATGTCGTCCACATCGTCACCACAGGCCGCATCGCTTGACCTTTAAACTTCATCTTGAGCCTTTCTCTTCTAAGAACAAGTTACATACCCTTGTTGCTGTGAAGCACTGGAATCAGGTCGAACAATCGAGGATTCTCCCAAAATGTCAGCACCAAAGATGCTTGCGACGCGATCAGCCAACGTCTGTTGAGAAGATCCAGGTTGAGCTGTTTGATGCGGTGGGGAGTCCTCGACGAAGCGAAGCGATACTTTGGGAAGATCACGCTAAACAGCGCTGTTTTGCGAATGCAGCAAACACCAGAGGGAATGAAATTGATAAAGCATAGAAGAAAGGGGAGACTTGATGGTTGCAAAAGTTCAAAGCTGTTGTAACAAGAGCACGAAACTTATTACCTTCACAAAAGTTTGAGGTGGCGGCGCACAAAAACTCGGTGGTGGAGGTAGCAAAGGATTGAAGCCAGGAGCTCCCATTGGTATTGCGGGATTTAGCTAAAACACAGCGTGATAATGAAGCAGAAGCTACTATTCACAAAACGATTTTTAAAAAAACCAATTCGAACAATGCCGCTTACAGGAGGTAGTGGGAAGGGCGGTGGCGGTAGATGCGTTGGAGGTAGAGGTAGATTGCATCCTGGTGGCGGCAGAGGTATGCCTAGAGTAGGAGGTGGAGGAGGTAGTGTTAAAGTTGGAGCAGCGATGTTTGGTTGAGGTAGTTGAGTTCCGGGGCTGAATACACCAGTTGGTGGTGGAGGAGGGGCAATTATGGGTGGTACAGGAGTTCGAGAAGATAAGTCATGAAGCGACGAAGAGGCTGACAAAGTCTTCTCGATCTTCTGGAATGAATATTCAAAGGAAATAGGGTAGAATTTTAATCAAGTCTGGTAAAACATTCGATACCTTTTCTTTCTTTAAACAAAGTTCGATATCAGAATCCGTAGAACTACTGCTCCATCGATGACCTTCCACTTTTTTCTCTTTCTCGTTTACTTTTGAAGGAGATGGAGTCCTAAATAAGGGTACTTTGAAAAGGAAAGGGAAGAAACGAAATTTGTAAATCTCACTTTTCTCTCCCAAACTTTTTCTCGTTCTCTTCTCCATTCTCGTCGGACTCATCACTGCTGATCTTTTGCAGACCAGGAGTTTGCTAAATTGAGCAGATAGAAGAG